GCGCCATCTATTTGCCTATAAAGTTGGTTGTCAAAACGGAACTACACATTTAATGTGCACCTTAGTAATATTTCCTTCAAGGCCTTCGTTGGTATCCCTATTTCCATTTGATTGGCCAATAAAAATTCACAAATTAAATTGACTGCTCCTGCGACGGAAACGTTTATAAGCAGCGATAAGACGACTAGGGAGAGCATCCTCATGCTGCTTGAGTTGATGCCTTTTATGTCGTCGCTAAATTTGATGATAGCCGCGTGGTGCAAGCTGCTGCTGTAAGGGTTTGTAGTTTTCCGATAGCCAATTTGCTTTCACATTATCCGAAGATTTTCGCATATCCGGACGAAATGCTAGGCCATCCTTGTGGATCTTAAATAGACCACACGAATGGGGATGTGAGTACCTACTGGTCGGAGGCGTTCGGGGTCGCGGTCGCTTATGAATCCTGCCGTGTTGAGACTTTTTAGGCTGTTAATTAGCTCTACATCTGCTCCATCCGTGCAGGCTTTTGATTCGTTAGACGCTGATCGATAAAGTCGTGATTTTGTAGCTTGGGCTGGGCACCACACGGGTCTGGGTAGGACTGGCTGACGGCAGCTAATAAACCAGAAATTGTCATTTTATTCTCCCTTATCTTTGCCGGCAATGCTATCTGACTATACTAAAAACTGTTACAGCTTTCAGGGCCCCTTTCGAGGCCCACGGCAGAGCGGGACAGATGTGTTACGTTAAGGGTCGGTGAACACATATCAACGAGTGTCAGTGTCCCCCGACCTAAACCGGTAAGACAACGAGCTCCTAGTCTACGGATTACGGCGTTTGACTCTAAACAAAAAGGTCGCAATTTCCAGGCTCAGTTGGGGCACCACTTGGGTCTGGGTATGATTGTCTGACGGTGTCTCATAAGGCGGAAATGTTTATTTTAGTCTCTCTTGTCTTTGCCGGTAATACTATCTGCTCGTAATTTCATGGTTTTAATAAAATGACTTCAAATCGAGTTTTTTTAACTGTCCTAGTGGAACCGTTTTTTGAGCAATGCCACTGATATATAAAAAGGGAACATGACTTGTTATGGCCCTTACAAGATCAGCACATAAGTCGTGCACATCAAATAAAACTGAATGCTTGCCAACTTTTGATTTCCATACTTTCTATGTTTCCTTCGATTGTTAATATTTACTACGAATTCCTTCAGCTGCACAAATCAATATTATTATCAAGTTCTCAACAGTCATTAATTATTTTGTGAACGTTGAGCGGCCAACTATAATCGCAGCTGAAATTCCGGGGAAAAGATGCCGGTGTTTTACCCACGTTGCGCCGTTACAGGAAGCACTTGTTCGACCCATAATTGTGCCCTCCGACATCGTCTATGCG